GGAAATCCGGCGACAGCATTCATCAAACCCTTGGGAACAACTGTGGTCGGAACCAAAGTTCACAGGTCTGTGTTCTCTGAACTCCTATCATTGCTTGCCGCCGAACCCCGTCATAGCTCATTAGAGCTGTGAACCTGCACTAGTCTCACGGTTCGGTTCGGTTACGATTATCATGCCATCGATTCGGTTCAATTCGATATTTCGGTGCATCTCGGTGCATTGACGGTGCTTTCCATACACAGTTTTATATTTTCTTCACAGCAGCATTTCTTGTATTAAAATGTATGAATATATTTATATTTATACACTATTTGTAATACAATTTTGTCATTTAATACAAGCAGTCAGAGATATAAACTGTAACTTTAAACAAAACGAGCATTTAGCAAATAATATAAACAAATATAAATATCCAGCTCAATTTCTGATCCTTGTCTAGTTCTCTTACACCCCTTTGATTGGTCACACCCTCAAAAAAAAAAAAACGGTTGCGATTGGCTCTTGCGCGCTGCGTTCTTTACACATGAGTGATAATGATAAGCGGCAGGCGGCAGCGGCGATCTCGCAGCTGATGTATGATAGACACAGTGGAGAAAACTCTGCAGACACGCGCTCGTTTCTGTATGCAAAAGTAACGCTGTAAAACAGCCGAGAAGAGAAGAGAAGCCACGCCAGCAGGTCAAATGGGCCACTGTGTGTGTGTGAGAAAGAGAGAGAGAGACAGAGCGAGAGAGAAATGGAGTAGGCTACTTTCATTCTCTCGATCTCAGTGAAATAGGGGCTATTGTTGTATATGTCAGTGAAAGACTGATCCAGCAAACACACACAGTGAAATTGTGCACAGTTTATGAGTTTTAAGTGGTTAAAGCGCTGTAAATACTCGCAATCGCCTCGCGATCGCCTCCCTCGCGACAAAGTGCATATGAGGTAAATGACGTCAGTAATAACCGGTTATGATTATTACTGAACTGATAGCGAATTGTCCGCGTCTGCATCGCAGATCATCGAAGGAACGATTAATTTTGAAACCCCTATAGCTCATTACCATAAAGTTGACTTGATTTCAACTCTCCTCAATGCCCATGCCGGAGAAGACTGCAAATCGCTGCCGGCTCTCATTGAAAATGAGTGACTTCCGGCTACTTTGACACTCTCGCTGCTTTCGGTGTGAACGTACGGTAATGCTTTTGCACCATGCACTTCAGACATTAAGCCTAGACCATTAAAATAGAGCCTTTGATTACTCATTTCTCAAAAACACAAAACATTGTGCACTCAAACTGTATACTTTTACTTAAAATCCTCAAATACCTTTGATATCGTTCATCTTGTGCCAGAAGTAAACCGTATATCCCTGAATGATCCCATTTCTCTTTTGGAGGGGGATTTCGTCCCAGTGAAACTTGAGATGTGAATGACTGATGTCCTCATAATTCAGCTCCGGAGTCTTAGAGGGTGCTGGGATAAAAAATAATCAAGATTTTGTTAACATTATACAGTTGAAGTCAGAATTATTAGCACTCCTGAATATTTTCCCCCAATTTCTGTTTAAAGGAATGAAGATTTTTCAACACATTTCTAAACATGAAAGTTTTATTAACTGATTTCTGTTATCTTTACCATGATGACAGTACATAATATTGTACTAGATGTTTTTCAAGATACTATTAATCAGCTTAAAGTGACTTTTAAAGGCTTAAATTAGGCAAGTTAGCGTAATTAGGCATGTTAATATAATGATGGTTTGTTCTGTAGACAATCAAATCCCAAATGAATGTCAAAATATTGATTAAGGGAGCTAATAACATTGATAAAAACTTTTATTCTAGCTGAAAAAAACCAAATAAGAAATAGAAATAAAAATATTATAGGAAATACTGTGAAAAAATTCATATGTCATAATGTCATAAGTCATTTAGGAAATATTTAAAAAATAAAAAAGAAAGAAAATCACAGGAGGGCAAATAATTTTGACTTCAAATATATACTGTATATACAAGTATTTATAATAAAACATATGCTGGATAAGTAGGCAGTTCAATCCGCAATGGCGACCTATAATTAAAAAAAGAGACTAAGCGGAAAAGAAAATGAATGAATAGTCCTAATGAATGAGATATAGTCCCGTAGGTCATATTGGTTAAATTCCTCAATCACAGAGTACAGCTTATGACGGTTTTAGGGCAATACAAATTAAAGTCTACAAGCTAAAAATACCGGTAGTCTTGGGTAAAGTTGTAGGCAGTATGTCTCTTTGCCTGCGGTGTGAGGAGTGATGGCTTTGTGTAGGTTTAAATCGAACAGCACGTTCATCAACAGTGGGTGATGCGGTCTGAAGACACACGCTGGAGTGACAGAATGGTGAGGAAATCTCCGCTGACGGCATACAGAGCACTGGGAGACTTCAGCGGCGTGCGCACTAATCCACTGACCCTTGAAAAAGACGAGCTTCAAATAATCTGAAACAAATGATTCATTGGATTCACTTACTTTCTTTAAGGTAAGTGGTTGCAAATTTTTTTGTGGGCTGAATTTAAACATTCATTCATTCATTCATTCATTCATTCATTTTCTTGCTGGCTTAGTCCCTTAATTAATCCAGGGTCGCCACAGCGGAATGAACCGCCAACTTATCCAGTAAGTTTTTACGCAGCAGATGCCCTTCCAGCCACAACCCATCTCTGGGAAACATCCACACACACACTCATACACTACGGACACTTTAGCCTACCCAATTCACCTGTACCGCATGTCTTTGGACTGTGGGGGAAACCGGAGCACCCGGAGAAAACCCACACGAAGGCAGGGAGATCATGCAAACTCTACACAGAAATGCCAACTGAGCCGAGGTTCGAACCAGCGACCCAGCAACCTTCTTGCTGTGAGGTGACAGCACTACCTACTGCTGCCTCGCCCTGAATTTAAACAAACAAATTTAATTTAATAATCAACTTAATTTGTTTGTTTAAATTCACCCCATATTAATTGTTTGCAACCACTTGCCTTGAAGAAAGTAAGTAAAATCCAATGAATAATTTTTTTCAGTGCACTATAAATCCACCTACTGTATAGCTAATAAGTTATTAGTTATTCCCTGCTAAAGAGGCCTACTGCACTCAATTTTTAAATGACTGAGGTTCAATTTATAGCAATTTTAAAGGTCCACAGAAACCAAAAGCTTTTGTGTAGATCACAGGTGTCAAACTCTGTTACTGGAGAGCCGCAGCTCTGCACAGTTTAGTTCCAAGCCCAACTAAACACACCTGATCAAACTAAATGAGTGCTTTAGGCTTGTTTGAAAACTACAGGTAAAGGCTGATTTATACGTCAAGCACACGCGTATGCCACGGCGCAGCCTACACGTGGACGCATAGCCCTCGCTGTGGCTGTCGGCGTTGCTGACGCGCACCTCTCAAAAAATGTAACTAGACATCGCAACGACGCAAGCTCTGTGATTAGTCGGCCAGATGGAGCGATTGTTTACAAGTGTGAAGACCCGTGATTGAGCTTCGGATGGAAAGTTTTGTTTTGTGTTTACCTCATGACTGAAGTTGTTGCACGTCCGCCAGTACCTGACTCAAAATGAGTGAGTTTGAACCACTTATACATTAAGTGAGAAAATCCCTCACTGCTCTCGACTGAAGGGCTTTTTGTGGCTAAAGTGTTTTTCTTACAGTGAAAATGCTTAAAGCACAGTTTGTTTAATAGTTTTATTCTATTATATTTATTTCTCTTTCCTTTGCAGGGTGGAAAATAACTGTATGTATACAGTGGAAGTCAGAATTATTAGCCCTGCTGAATATTAGCAACCTTTTTTCCCCAATTTCTGTTAAATGGAAAGAAGATTATTTTTTTACTTTTTTTTACAAAACTAATATTTATTGATTAATATTAAATGTCAGAATCTCCTTCAAATAAGCAGTCTGAAAGAATCTTTGAGAACATGGAGTGTGCTGGAGCGATAAGCGGAGATTCGGGGGGAGAGAAGGGGTCTCTGCTTTCTTATCAGCCTTCAGAGCTGCCAAACACCACTGGCACCAACAATTCAAATGGAAGTTTATAAGAGATGACGATTAGCTGGCTCAGATATTGCACCTTTTTCTGCATTAAATTGGTCTCAGTGAAGTGGCGGTGCATGTTAATCAAACAAACAAACAACCAAAATACTGACATTTATTAGCATATGCAGTTGAAGTCAAAATTATAAGCACGCCTAAATTATTATCCTCCCTGTATATATTTTTTTCCCTATTTTCTGTTTTATGGGAAAAAAAATAAATAAATAAATAAATATATATATATATATATATTTTTTTTTTTTTTTTTTTTTAACATTT